TTCCAGAACACCTGGAGATGTGGCACTGAGGGATGTGGACAGTGGGCATGGTGTTGGGCTTGGGGATGTGAGAGGGCTTTTCCAACCGGAGTGACTCTGTGATTTGGGCTAAGGGAAGGAAGCTGCTGGGCACATCCAGCCCAAAACCTCATGAGATGGAGGGGAATCCTGTCCTGCCTGATGGGAAACGTCACAAGCATCAGCAAACAGTTCCATCACACATTGGGAATGACCTTGACATTACCGTATGTCCAGCTGAACTGGCCTGGAGAGGAAAGTCTCACTGACAGCTTATGGGGATTGGCCATTCCTGTATCGACTGCCTCACTTTCATCCTAAAGCCTGCAAACAGTCCTGACAATTCAGGAACACTGGAAGGGTGTTGCCGTTCGGTTGGATTTTGTGTAATGTGAGTACTTTGGACTTAGTTTAACGCAATGCTGAATTACGAGCTGCTTGTCTTTCAAACCAGACCCTTATTTTATTGTTTTAAGGAAGTATTTGCATACATGCAGTACCTGTCGTGCAGCAGCAAGAAAAGCTCAACGCTTTGCAAGAATCAAAACCCATGAGGAGAGGCTGGGTACGGTCACTGCTATCTCAAACACAGGGAAAGGGAGAAATCCCAAGCAGCCTTTCCCTGAAATAAACCTGTGGCCACACTCCGACCTGTGCTCAGGAGTATCTCCCCAGTTCCCAATCAGTTTTGCTGCTGCCAGCCTGCCCTGGGGTAAGCAGAGAGCAAAGGCTGAGCCCCAAGCAGGAGTCCACGGTGGGGAAGGATTTAAGCATCATCCTAAAGCAGGGCGACTGCTGCAGAGACGGAGGGGTCCTGCAGGACTTGGCTGCTCAGCTGTAAGTCACTCACAACTCCCAGCTCTCATTATTCCACTCCAAGTCACTACATCAGCAGTCGTACTTCAGAGTGAGAACTGTCCTACTTTCAAAGAATGCGATACGTGCCTCAGATTCCCATTGTCATGAAAGCACGTTTCTAGTCTCCCTGCTTTGGAAGGTTCCTTTTGCTCTCAGCTCCACAGGAGCTTTGCCATGCACTGATCCCTCTTGCCCCAGTGCCATCAATTGCCCCGCAGCCCCAGCTGGCAGCAAGGCAGGGCGCGATGACTTCATTGCTGGCTGAACTCATTGTGGCAGCACTTTGGTCATTTGTTACACGCTGCCCTTCATGGGCTGGACCTGTCATCAGCTCTGCAGGGACCGGACACCCTCAGCCTCTGCATCACCCATAAAAAATGCCTTTTTCTGTCGCCGCACAAAGCGCCCAGAGGGCAGCGGCACAGCGGAGCCCCCGTCCCCGCCTTCCCCCTCTCACACAGAGATATTGCATTCATTCATCTCAGGGGCCGCAGCGTGCTCGCAGCCTGACAATACATTATGGTGATGTAGGTCTTCATTTCACGCTGTCAGGGACTATAACAACTGTATCTATTACCCAGGGGGGCTAACGGGGCAGCTTTCCCTGAGCTGGTCGCCGTGCGCCTGGCTAATGCCATTGGGTGTCCCCTGCTCCCGTCCCTCATCCCCTGCCTGCATGGCGCCAGGAGGTTGGGGGCTGCAGTGGGGGGTCCCGGCCCAGGATGGGTGTGGGGAGCAGGAGATGGATGGCCCTGAGAGCTGCAGCACAATGAGGCAATTCCAGCCAGTACAGCTCATCAATCCCCAGCTCTCCAGCTCCGCGTCCCCCTCTGCTCAGCCGCTGTTGGTTGGGGGTGATAGCCCAGGTGTGTGCCTGTCACAGAGATAAAAGAGGCTTAATTAAGACCCAATAAGCTAAGTGATTTGTTATCTCGGTGCGATATATTACTCCAGCTTATCGATCCCACAAAGGCACATGTGTCTGAGAGCCACTGACACAGCTCTGTCCTTCCCTGGTGAATACACGCCAGCCCTTGCTGCTTGCTGCAGGCAGGGGACAGGGCTGTCCCCTTACATCTCATGCAAGCACAGCAATAACACGATTCGCTTCTCCCAAGAGAAGGAGCTGCTGGAAGCTGGTGATGCTCAGCCCTGCCTGAAGACCAGCAGTGGGCATTGTGTGGAGACTTGGTGTGCTGGGAAATCCCTCTGGAGAGGGTTGCCTGCATCCATCCCATAGCAGGAGCAGGTCTGGAAGGTGGCAGTGAGGGAAAAGCCAGTTTCCATTAAACCATGTCCCCCTCCAGGGCTGACATCCCCTGGACTGTGGCTGTGCCATTTCAGAACCAGGCATCCCCCAAGTTCTCAAAGCAATCCCTTCCCAGCTGAAATCCAACCATTTTCGTTTTCAAAACTTTAAGGCAAGTACGAGGGGGAGAGGGAGGGGAAACCAATTCATTTAACATTCAAAATGTTAAACCGCTCAAGAAGTTCTTTGATCTTTTGAGGTTTTGCTGCAAAGGGAACACCCTTTCCCCATTGGTTTACTGAGTCACGCTTATTACTTCAATGCAGAAATATCCTTTATGTCAAGTGTATAAATATCCAACGCTAAGCCTCAGAAGCCTTTTCCTTTTTTCTTTTTTTTGCATCTGTCTGGTTTTTTTTTAATTCTTTTTGCAGAGTGTGTGTCATGCTCTCTGGAGCTGCTTCCTGCACTGGCATCCAGGGCATCCCTGCAGGTTGCTGGGTGCTGTGCGCTGTGCATGTCGCCATCCTCCCAAATCCCCTAAAGCATGGCAGCCTTGGGAAAGCAGGCAGAGCAAGGGGAGATGGCAGAAGATTTGGCCTCACAATGCAGTTGTGTTTTGTTGGTTTTTTTTTTTTGCTAGGAGAATGTGCATCTGCTGCCATTAGTGAGGATGTGCATCTGCTGGGAAATGCAACCTGCCCCCAGAATTCTAAGGAACGGTCGTAAAAATGGTTGTAAGCCGAGCCCCGGCGCTCCCACGTATTTTGCTGGCACCTCGGGGTTGTGGTTGGGGTTCAAAGTGGCCACAGGTGTTGGGGCCCCAGGGCAGAGCTGTGATTGGCACACAGCATTTCGGTGCCCACGCGCCCAGACCTCCCGCAGCGGGGTCTGGAGCCAGGCGTTCCCTCCCGGCTGCCCCACAACTTGGCCTAGAGCTACGTCTGCACAGGCGCCTGTTCAAACAGCATCAGGGCAGGCAAGCTGGGGCTTGAGAGCAGTGCTGGGGCTGAGAGGTGGCAACCTGTGCTCCAGGAGCTCCGGTGCTTGCAGTCATGCACTCCCCTTCCCGCTGGACCCAGCAGTGGGGAGAAGGTTAGAACCCACCAGCCTGCTTTCGGCTTCCAGAGTGAGATGTCACATCCCAATGGGTGCGGGGCAGTCTGTACCAATGTCACGGGTCATGGCAGATAATGCAAAGTATGCTTAGAGTCCTGTCCTGACTTTCCTTTACCAACAAGGAAAGGTCCCAAGGTTCAGCAAATCCCACACTTTGCTCAGTCGGGCACTGGTGCTGCTGCCCAGAGGAGTTGTGGACACCCCATCCCTCGAGGTGTCCAAGACCAGGTTGGATGGGCCCTGGGCAACTTAATCTGCTGTGTGGCACCCCTGTCCACAGCAGAGGGGTTGGAGCAGGAGGATATTTCAGGTCCTTCCCAACCCAAGCTGTTCTGTGATCCTATGATTCCCAATGGCATCCCCAAAATAGGACAGTGTTCCCTGCGTAGGCTGGGGTGCAGGCTTGGCCAAGAGGGTCTCGTGCTACGCCACAGCTCACTCAGGCACATGCATCCACCCCATGCCCACCCAGCAACACTCCCTGGGCAGCTCATACCAATGCAGCACAAACATGCTCCAACACCCCTCCTTTGAGCTCCTGGTTGCTTTCCTTGCTGGATCCCACCCCTCCACCCACCCCTACAGCACGCTCCCAACGTGTCGAGCAGGGCAGCCCCTGGGCTTTGCTCTCCCCAGCACAGCAGTGGGGCTGCCAGGGCCACTCTGTGCCCATCGCCGCTGCTCACCTCCAGCAGGGCAGCAGGCACATGCTTTCCTTCCCTTGCCTTTTCCCCACGAAGGAGGTCACACCCTCTGATTACCTAACAGCAGCCGGCTCTCGGCAAAGCAAACAAACTTGACATTCACATAACCTGCCGCGCTCTCTCCGGCAGGGATTATTAAGTCATTAGAGTCTGTTAGCAAATTTTCCCAAATACCTTTTTCGCTTCTTCCCAGGGGCACCTTCATGGTTAACGATCCCAAACTGCAGGCTGGGCTGAAATCCATCCACTGCAGCTCGGCGACCATGGGGGTGTAGGAGCTGCGGAGGGAATGTTGGGAGCTCCCCCCAGGGCATTCCCCTGTGAGGATGCTCAACTCTGAGCACCCCGTGAGCAGCAGAGCCCAAGGAGGGGTTTTTTGCAGATGCAGCAGCCCAGGGAGGGCAGGGAAGGGGTGAGGTGTCCCCCCGGCAGGGAGGTGACCCCCATCTTCCCTCAGTAACACACACCCGCTTTTCTCCTTCGCTGAGCTGGCAGCCCAGGGCGATATTTCTAACAGGCAAGTGTATTGCCTAACTGGAGACAGAATAAAAAATAATCATAAAAAACCAGTCAGGCAGGCCAGGTCAGTGCAGAGGAGATAGGTTTCACCCACCTGCAGCTGACTTGCCCTCTCGTTCTCAGGCTGAACAGCGTGTACATCAACAGCCTGATGAGATGCAGTTTGGTAACTCAGGGCAGCAAGCCAGCTGTGCCCGTCCCCGGAGCCCCTCAGCATGAGCAGCCCTGATCCCAAACCCACCATCAGCTTTGTGTTGGGGTTTATCCCATAGAGCTCTTTGGAGGTGGCTCCCCACGATGGATGCCCCATGCCCCCCGTCCTACCCAAACACCCGCATGTTGCGTGCTGCCTCGAGAGGAGAGGAGCTTGCAGGAATCCCCGGCATCTGCAGCCTCTCCCCAGGGCGCTGCTGGGGAGGATCTGCCAACAGACACCAGGGTTTCTGCAGCCCAGGGGCTTGGCGAGAGCCAGGAGGAGAGGCAGAGCATCCAAAGCCCAGGGGCCCACATGGCACAGTGTGTGTTCCATCTCACCAACCCCCCAGGTTTTCCATTTGCAGCAGAAGCCAGGTCTGAGGGAAAGAGTACAGCTACCACCTTAGGCATAGGCAAGCAGGGAACACCAAGAAATGCCTCGTATTTCAGTCCCAAGCAGTCTCACACATTTGGGATTGATTAAATAATTACAAAACCCTCATCTGTTTCTATTCATATCAATAAAACCAGAAATGACAATAAACCTATTTGCTGCAAACATCACCTCTGGGCTAGCTCTATACAGAAACACACTTTCTGCTTGGACATCACTATGGTCCTTTGGCCAAAATCTCTCAGCAGACACAACCAGGCCGTGCTTCCCAACCCAGGCCATCAGCATTTTTGCTGCCCTGGAGAACCACATCGCTGAGATGTCATTTGGGATGGAGTCACCCAATCCTGCAGCCCCTGCAGGAACCCAATCCTGCATTCCTGCAGCTGCTGATGCATTTTTAGGTCTGCAGCACCGAGTCCCCAAGGTTAAGTTGCATGGGAAAGAGAGAAAGTGCCCCTCTCCACTCTTGTCCTTAAGGTGGTGGGGGTGGTGATGGAAACCGGCGGTGCTGGGTGGGGATGCAGAGAGGTGTTGGCAGCAATACCTTCATCATGGAAAAGTCTCTGATTTCCCAGGCAAATGCAAGAGCCACAGAAGCTGAACCACCTTTCCCTAAAGCCTTTCCCCAACCCCTGCAGGCACAGAGGGAATGGGGTCTGTGCAATGGGTTGGGGGGAAACAGCCCAGCCCTGAGGCAGCTCCCAGCTCCACACCCAGCCCAGGACACAGCAGGACCCCCATAGGGGAAAACTGCTCCTCCTTGCCTAAGGTGCTCACAGAAAGTGATTTGTCACATGTGCCTGTTTGCTTCCAAAATAAATCTCCCTTAAAGGCAGGTAAATCTCAGGCTGGATCTGTTAGATACCGTAATGTGGCATTAAGCTGAAGTTAAGGTTATATTCCTCCAGGGATGCCAGATGGGATTTGCTTTCCTTGAAGACAGGACACGTATTTCAACTCTAATGGGTTGATGGAGCCCCTTTTATCTTGTAAATATGAATGAGGAAGGGGGAGCTATTAAATAAATGGAGGGGTTTTACCTGAGCCTTTTTCCCTGTCATCGGTTTGGACTGTGTTAAAGATCTTTGTTTTCTCGGTGGAAAACTCGCTCAATCATTCAGAAAGGAACTAAATGCCTTTTGAGAACATAACCTTTATTTTCCAGATAAATGGCTCACTCTGAGCAATTTGCATGTGGGAAGCTAGCATACAGTGCAGTAAATACATATATATATATATATATATATATATATATATATATATTTAAAACCCAATAGCAATGTAGGTCACGATACAAACATCAACTGCTGAGATGACTTCTCTGGGGCTGGAAAGTTAGGGAGCTCAAGGCAATTCAAAAGGATGGGGAGCTTTTATGCAGCAGATCTGCATAGGGCTGAGCAGAGGGATGGATCTACATCATCTCAGTAAGTCTGACCAAATAAATGAAGCCCACCAACCCCACTCTGCCACCTTCATCCCCGGGGCCGGGTTTACAGTCCCATCACAGCCACTCTCTCTTTCTCCCAAGCTCTCTCCACCACTGATCCCTGACACCTATCACACAGATCCAGTGGCACTTGGTCATCACTGCCCCAGCACTGTGATTCCATGGCCACATCAATGGCACAGGGACGGGCCGCCACTCCCAGAGACTCCAGCAACAGGATTCCCTACAGCACTCAACTCAGTGCCTCCCACAACAGCTCCTCACCTCCCATATAAGCATTTGCCTGCTGGGAATGGACCCATTTGCCCAGCCCAGAAATACTCCCAGACCTCCGTGTCTACGCAGACCCCAGTCTGAAAGCCACCACCACCTCCTGCGAGGTAGGAAGGGACCTGCAAGGCATTCCCTCCCTCAGCACTTCCCTGCTATTGCAGTGGGCAGAGCTGCAGCTCTGGGAAAGGCACTGGGAGCCGCCGCCAGCAGCTGCAGCACGATGCCAACTCCAGCTGCTTGTTAATTATGGTAACATGTTGTCTCATGTACGCACCTCCGCGAAGACGCTGTATTAGCTTGATAAGTATTTAACACTTGGCACAGGGGGGGATTTCCACTTAGCATCCAGCAGGGCTGAGCAGCAGGGAGGCAAGGTGGCACGAGCAGGGCACTGGGAGAGGGCAGGGCAGGAGGTAGCAGGTTCTGGCAGCGGTGGGGACTGAGCCTTGCATGGGCTGGGTTAGCACTGCTGGCGATGGGGCTGCGTGGGATCCCGGCTTTTGTAGCCTCCTGCCACCACGCTTCGTGCTCAGAGCTGCCTCTGCACAAAGCCCAGACTGCTCTAAGCTTAATCCGTCTTGCAAATGGGTATTGTCATCGCCGGTGCCTTTCTTCAGCAGGCTTTTCTTGTTGGCTCTGCATGGCTGGCCGCTGTGTAGCTCCCGTTGTGCTGATGGCAGGAGAACCACACAAACACGTGTTCAGGTCCAACGTGCTGCTCGCGAGACATCTTCATCTGCAGAGCTGCCTGCCTGTGCTGAGCCATGGGAAAATGAGCCAAAGGTATTCCCGTGGTCCAAGGAAATTTCCCTCCTACATGACCAATTCTGGGCAGGGTTGGGGATGATCAGACCCTCCTCATCTCCAGGGCTCATCACAGCCCCCAGAGCCAATCCACCATGCTCTGCCCACACCTTACATGGGGCTGCAGACAGCACAGCAGCACCACCTCCCCTCTTCATTAGTAGGTTGCAATGGCCTCTTCCAAAGGTCTGAATGCAGATAGATCTTTTTTTTTCCCCTGAATCAAGATCAGTAATTATGAGTCAGTGTTAGCACAGAGCCGGTGAGTCAGGCACAAAAGCATTTTTCCCTCTCACCCTCCAGGTCTAAGGTACATCACTTGCCTGAGCCTCCCGTGTGTGGTCTTCATTCAGGGCTTTCACAAACATCATTAGCAATCCATGAGCGAGTTCAGCAACAACCCACAGCCAGTGCTGCCACCTCCTCTTCAGCACCTGGGAAATACACAGGTGGTCCCCACCTGCTCTGTGACAGGGATGCAGAGCAGAAATTTCAGCCTTTCCTACAGAGCTCTCCTCACTTTCAGGTTGGCAGCCAATGCCCAGCGTCATGGTGAGCATTGGCCCCAAAGGTGTCCAAGACCATTGCATCCCCAGCACCTGGCTCTAGCAAAAAGGGCTGCAGGCACACTGGTGCCCTTTCCCTTCAGCAGGATGGTACCCAACTGTCTGCATGTCCCCAGCTCCAGAACCCTGCTTCTCAAATACCACAAGCCCCTGTCCCACAGCCAGGGGAGGGCTCTGAGCTGGGGACACAGCCCAGCCCAGCAGCGCAGACCCCCAGCAGCCCATTCCTCCCTCCCAGCTGCACACTCCAGAGCTCCCCTGCACAGATGTGCACTTACTTGCCTTTGAGCTCTGGTGGGTTACTAGAGGGTGCATATTGCCTGCCCACTCCCTTTGATGCCGGACTCATCTCCTTACCCATCTCTGCTCCTTACATCTCTATGGAATTTAACTGCATCCTTCCCATTGATGGCTGCTCCTCCTGCAAGCCTGCCTTGTGCCAGAGCAAGGATGCTGCCCAGCACCAAGCACCAGAGCTATGTATGCATGCATGGGAGGACTCCATATGTTCATTATTTGGGCTATCTCAGAAGCAAAAAATAACGTGAGAAGGAGCTGTCAGCCTCCAGCTCTGCACCGAGGAGATGAGCCCAGCGGACGCATTTGCTTTCTTTTCCTCAAAGCACGCAAAACCCCAACAAAACAGACTTTGTTTACAGCCCGTCCTGTAAACCGCTTAGGCAGTCGGAGATGAGCTGAAAGCTTAGACACGCCGTAGAGTTACAGCCAGATGTGGTTTCCAATGGCTGAGTTAGGCACCTCGGAAACTCGAGGTTTATTAATGAAGGTGCCCGCTGAACCATAACGGGTGCTGTAATTACCTGGCTCCGGGCAGCAGGCAGTGCTGCTGCAGCCAACCATGCGCCCGGCCGAGCGGACACAGCATCTCCTGGAGGTGAGCGAGGAGGTGAAGGTCATTCCCCATGTCGACAGCTCTACGGCTTGGGTGGATGGCTGGGGGGAGATAAGGGAGCCTGAGGGTCACAGCTGATAAGAGATGAAAAGGCTCTGGGGGTGAGGAATAATGGTGTGTGAAGGGCGATGCTCTGCTCCTGGTGACAGCGCTGGGTCTGAGGATGGTCAACCAGCGACTGGGACACAGCGCAAGGTGGGATCTGGGCCTTCCCCAGTTCAGACCAATGGGAGGAGCTCCTTCCCAAGCCCTGCATCACGAGGGCTGATGCATAGATGGACGCCGATGCCCCAACCACCAAGCATCCCTGCAGGGAGGAAACAACAGCAAGCAAATGAAGCTACATATACCCAGGAGCCTGCAGTAAAGGGAGAAGGGGCCACAGGGCCCTGCAGGGGGACAGGTGAACCCATGTGTCCTCCCCATCTCCACTGCATGGCCCCAAGGGCTGAAGCTATCGCCTCACCAAGGAGGCACTGCCTGGGAGCTTTTCACACCTGATTTTGTCTCTTGAAGTTTCACACCAGTGAATAACTGTGACCTCGGGAGGGGAGTGCATTGGCTGTATTTCCCAAATATCAGCAAATTGTGTGAGAGAAAGAGATATGCTAAGGGGGCAGGCTGCTCAAACCATTACCATCCTTCTTAGTACCACTTAACTGAACCGTTAAAAAGATCCAGGGCTCCCAAAGACAATTAAGCTCAGGGGAAGCCATAAATCTCAATAAACATCAGGCCAAGTTTTCTTCACTGCTTGAAACAACAGATATAATTTCATTGGTTACTGAGCTCATGCTCCCAAAGGGATTTCAGATAAAAAGCCACTTATTCAAAACACCAAACCCAGGCTTCTCCTGTCTCTCAGGCTACCATGGGGTCAGATTTCCCAGCATGGGAACATGCGCCCCGCGGTCTGCAGAGGTGGAGCTCTGACTGCAGCAAACCTCTGCAGATTTATGATGTCTGCAGCACGGTGCTGTGACCCAGCAGTGGGGTCAGCAGCCGGCACCTGCGCTCAGGTGGCCCTGCTTGGATGCACAGGCTGCTGCTGGAAACAGCCTGCTGCTTGCAAAGCCTGCTCTGGTCCGCACGCTTGTTCCTATGGGCTGAGGTCTTGCATGGGCACAGCTACAGCCTAGAGGACATGGTGTTTTGCCAAGCCAGGTGCAACCTGTTGAAATGAGATAGCTGTCCCAGAGCGCATCAGCTCTCCTTGCTGTTCTAGGGGAAAACTGGCAGCTTATCCCCACGCTGGTCACCCAGCCTATGGCCAACACCTCTTGTCCATAAGTTTCCCTATACAGACATCGTTGTGTCTGAGGTCCGTGCCAAGGCAGCACACGACAGCCTGCATGCCAGCCTTGCTATTTTTTACCAACAGCTTTCGCATCTGCAGGGCTGGGCCCTTGGCTCTGAAAGCTCCCTGCAAGGTCGCTCCATTCGCCAAGTGCAGCTTCTTTGTGCTTTGATTTAAGTTCTTGCGTGCTTCTTGTATTGATTTCTCTCAGATGTATTTTATGGGGAATAAGCACTCAAACCAGAAGGCCAAGACCTCCCGCCTTGTGCGCAGCATGGTAATGGATGAGCTCCTTCTCACGCTCCCTCCTTCCCTCCCCACTTCTCTCACCTTTTATTTAATCTGAATCCAAAAGCACTGGGGTGAAGGATGGCCAAGGCACAGACACGTGAAGCTTCTTTGCTCTGGGTACTCAGCACTGAGCCAAGCAGGGCACGGCGCAGCTGCAAGCAGGAGGGCTCACTGCTCAGGCTGCAGATGGTTTCCCCTTGCAGAGATGAGGGCGATCACCTCCTGGCACCCCAAGAACCCGGGGAAGAATCCACCTTCTGAAATCCCAAATCCAGCCCACTGAAATAACCATACTGTGATGAAGATGAGGAATTCAAACGTTGTGCAATACATTTCCATCTGACGTCATGAGCTGAGAAGCTGGGGTTTGGAAGGCAGCCTTCCCTCTGTACACAGGAGGAATAAAAACATTATTATTGTCTTTCTCAGTGAACTGCAAAGCCTGTTTTTAAATGAAACTTGAGCTCCCCATCTCATCACGTGCTTCCAGGAGCTGGAGCTTTCTGAAGACCAAATACTTTGAAACTCTGGATAAGACCATTAGAGTTGCTTAATTTCCTTTATGTCCATCTGTTTCAGTTCAGCTCGGTTGCTTCTGTCCCAGACAAGACATTTGGCTCTTCCAAATAAATCTTATAGCCCATTTGGATTAAAGACTTTCTGATGCAGCCTCTGAATATAATCCCTCTGATTTGCATCTCAAAGAAATTGAGTTAAAACCAAGCGAGAACCATACCCAGAGTGCTTGGAATTGCTGGGGGACGCGATGCGCTTGTGAGGTCCCATATGGATAATGGCACTTTTGTTTTTGATTTATCCTGAACTGCCCCTCTCCTATGGCTGTGGTCACACCAGCGCGCTGCAGGACTTCCAAAGCAGACAGAGTGAGAACATAACTGACTGCTCCTGCTGTTGTCCAAAGCTTGAGTTTTGCACCCGAGAAATTGAGAAGGCTGCAGAGAAAGCGTGAGACACACTTAGGAAGTGTGGGACAGCAGATCTCCCCGTAGCGACAGCAGAGGGTGAATGATGACTAACATTGGAGCTGAGTCAGGTTCAGTGCCATTCTGCTCATCAGCTCCTAATAGGTACTTTGCTCATCCTCAGAGGCAGCACCGACAGCAGTCTCAGCAGTGCTCTCTCCTATGGCTGCTCAGTGCCTGGTGCTGGGATCCTTATCATGTTTTTGCGCAGGAGAGCTCGGGTCACGGGATGCCTGGGTGCTATTCCTGGCAGTAACACAGCTCCCTCCACCCCAGGCAAACCCTTCCCCCTTTTCACGTCCCACAGTGCCTGCCTAAGAAACAGCCTTGTGAGATGCTGGAACCCCCAGGTCCACACTGTTACCTCCCATTCTGTTGGATGGGAAGCCAAGTCACAGTGCAGGTAGGTGGCACAGGTGCCACCAGCCCCACGTCAGAAGACACTGGATACAAGCAGGAATCCTGGGCAGTAGGACAAAGCAGACACCCACACTCCTCATAATGACAATAATTAATCACGGGGAAGGAGAGAACAGCACTGCCCCAGCCTGAACCCTCACCCAGAAAGCCCTCATTTTCCCCCGCTCTTTCACCACAGAGCAGCTCCAGCCAAGCTGACCCAGCACAGACCACCACCCTCCTCCTGCCACCACCTCAGCCCTAGAGACATTACAGAGCCATTAAAAGCCAAATTCATTTCCACAGCTGAAACCAACCGCCCGTAATACAGTATTTTTTGCAGCTGTGGTTCAGCATGGCACCTGAGAGCTGTGAGGTTAATGACACGGGGCTGTCAGCAGCCTTAATTATATTCCCATTTTTCCAGCCCCTGATTAGCTTTAGAGCTCATCTGGTGTCAGAAATTTGGTGCCTAAGCTTTGACAAAAGTGTTTCATTATTACTTAATAAATGGGTAAAGAGGGAGTGCGTGTATTCAAGCTCTGCCTCGTTAAAGCTGCTTTTTTTTTTTATTATTTAACCTCACCAAAGCTCTCTACCTGGCTGGGAGCCCCATACTGGGATGCTGGGGGGGATTCAGCCCCATTATCCCCTCCCCAAACCTGGCTCCATAACCCCCATGAATGCGCCCTGTTTTGCTGGGAGCCTGCTGCTCCCCATCAGCCAACGGCCAATTAATAAGGATCATTTATTACTGTTATATCGCCTCTAAAGCAGGCCAGGTGTTTGCATAAAAAAAAAATAAAAAAATCAAGAGATTTAAAAATAATAATAATAAAAGCACAAGCTTTACATCAAAGCCCTGAATGGCTTAAAATCTAAAGCAGAGCTTAGGTTGTTCTCCACATTCAATTTCCTCCAGCCCTCAGCACAGTTAATTAATTTGAATATTAATAATAGTGGTGAGAAGGGCCCTGAATCTTTTTCTCCTTCCCCATTGCAGACCTCGCCGTGCCTCAAAGGGGTGCCCAATTCCTGGATGTTTGCCCCCAGAATCCTTGCAGCTCTCAGCCTGTGCCTTTTTTGCTTTGCAGGAAATTCCTAGAGTGAAATCAGTGCAAAACCATCCTCTCAGCACTCAGGATTTCAGCTGGCTCTGCTCTCAGGGCTGGGTGAGATGTGGGAAATCAGTGCATTGCTCTCCAGCATCGTGAGTTGGATGCACTCTTCCACCTGATGTAGCTCCCAAAGCCCCTCCTGGGTTTGTGGGCTCCTCCAGCAGCATTCTCACTCTTCTGTGAAGTCGGGAGCACAGGGCTGCCCCACAGGGCTAGATTTATGGCCCTGCTGTATTTCAGTCCCTCTGGGCTTGGCCATTTCCATGGTGGCTGCTGGAGATCAAGGCTGCTCTCGATGACGGCATCCTTGACCTGTGATCAAGCTGAAGCCAACGGAAGTTTCCAGCAACATAAGCCACTTAATGTTTAACTTCTGTGGTAGCTTCTGGAGACTGATATGATATAATTTTGGCTCTGCAAAGACAGCTTAGCTCAAGGGAGTGGACTGCAAATCATTAGCAGGATTGTTCTCACCCCAGCTCCTTGCTTTTAGTTGCTGAGCGAAGCGGCATGAAGCATTCCCAGAGAGGAGCTGCAACCACATGAAATCTGCCTCATTTGTAGCTTCATTCCAGCATAGCTGCATGTGATGGAAGTCAGGCTGATATTAACAGGGCCACATCCCAGGTCCACAGTGATGGTGGGGATGGAACTGGGGTCAGAACTCATCTAGAGCCCAAAGACGGATGAGGAGCAATGACTTCTAATTGACAGAAGCACCACCCAAGCAGGAGAGATGGGATATTTTCTGCACAGCCTCCACTGCCCCACAATGTGCTCAGCTCCTCTGGCAGCCCACAGAATTGACCTCAGCTCCCCATCCATACGGTGAGTCCTCATGTGGGGACAGACACTGTCTGTGTGCTCTGCAGGGCCGTGCTGAAGGGCAAGCATGGGGCTGGCTGTGCTGAGCCCTCCCAGCCTAATAACCACATTAATTAGAGCACACGGCCCCTTCTTCCCACTGTAAATCTCCATTAGCCATAAACTGGATGGGCCATAAAAGGGAGTTTACGACAAACTCACAAGGCGATACGTGTTTGGATCCTTAGCTCCGTTGCAGTTGGTAATAAAGCCTTCTTTTATTGGAGCATATACTCTGCCCTCAAGATAACATACAAGGCCCAGGGCTCCTCAAAGACATGATGCAAAGCCATTTGTTGCACTTTGATTTGCTGCAAAGCTACACAGAGGTAGGAGAGCAGAGGGAGGCGGCCAACAGGCTTCAGCTCTGCCAGTCCCAAACCACCACAGCATGCAGCATGGCAGGGTGAGAGCCTCTGTAGTGCTACATCATAAACATAGCAGGGGGCAAACTCTAGTGAACAGTTTAAAAAACTGCTTGAGATTGATAAAAACACAGACAGAAACCTGCCCTGTGAAAAGTCAGCTCTCAGAGAGTGATAGGTCGGGGTGCTGTGATGGAGGGGGTTAATGGTTAAGCTTCTGTTTTTGTTTACGAGTCTGGAGCAGATAATGCTTCACGTCATCAAAATAGGTGCAGACTCTTTGAGGAGCATAAGGGCCAGGCCTGGAGGAGATCTGTAGGCATCAAAGTCCCAGGCAGGGCATCTAGAAAAAAAAAAAAGGACCAAAAAAAGGAAAAAAGGAAGGGAGGAAAGATGAATACCTGCAGTTGGTGGGGTGCCTGGGCACCACAAACACTGTCCTCTCCCCTGCTTCTCTCAGCAATGTTTGTTAGCTGGAGGATAAACATCAGCATTGCCTTGGGTGCAACCCATTCCCTGTCTCTGCCCTCCTTCTGGGTGATGCTCCCCTTAAAAAAGGAACCCAAAGTCCTCAGGCGTGCACTTCCCTTCCGAAGGCAACAGCACGCTCATTAATCCCAGCTCAGTCTGAGGCAGCCGCAGACACCGGTATGAAATCATCGCTTTTATTTAGTTCAGCAGTTAGGTATGATTGTTCTGAACTGCGATTCAACCCTGCTCCCTTCCATCTCCGGCGGTGTTAAAAGTAACAAGTCTATCACCTCTGGAGCCATTTCTCTGTCGCTCGCATCTTGCTGGAGCTGCAGAGTTTTGCTGGAGGGCTTCATCTCTTCCAGACAGCCACCTGTCAATTATCCCTCTGCCCGACAAATAAAATAAGCAGCCACAGACTGTACACACAATAGCTGTCCCCATGTGTTTGCAGCAGACCTGCTGGAGGAGCTGAGCCGATGTTCCAGGAGCCACACGCATGGCTCCAGCACTGCAGTCTGGGCTTGCCTGCAAGCTGAACCCCCACACACTGCTGCCTTTATGCTGGAAGATATTTCCATCTGACTGCTAACACAGAAGATTTTGGGGCCAGTGCTGGACCAGCACTCAGTGTGATCAGACCTGGGAGGGACCTGCCCTGATTCCTGGTGGCAGCACCACTCCATGGTTCCTCATGGCTCTATTCCTGACTAACCATGATGGGTAGGTTTGCATTCATACACATGTGTAATTTCCCTTTTGTCCTTACACATACTGCTTTCTAACATGGGCACAGGCACTTTCCATACACCAGCTCTTCCTCTTTCATTGATTTCCCATTGGTCTCCTCATCCCAACGACCTGTGATGGATGGAGACACGATGGATGAATGGATGGAGCACCAGCCCTGCTGATCTCATGTCCCACAGCCACTTCTTCCAAGCCATCACCTTGACATCCTCAGAATCTCTCTCTGATCTTTCTGACCCAGTGTAGCAATCACTAGGGTTCATCTGGGACATCAGCAGGTCTATGAGTGATTCCACAAAGCCTGGACCCCACACTTCCAAATTCCCATAGAATCATAGAATATCTCAAGTTGGAAGGGATCCATAAGAATCATCGAGTCCAACTCCTATGGAAAGCTCCAAAACCACCCTGCACTACCTGCTGTGCTTGGCCTCATCTAGGACAGCTCTCCATGTGCTCCCCATTTAGATCCTTTCCCAGCCAGGTCTACAAGCCTCAAACTTCAAGGAAGAAAAATAGAATCATTAAGGTTGGAAAAGACCTCTAAGATCCCCAGGTCCATCCTCAACCCACCCCACCATGCCCACTAACCTCAGTGCCACATCTCCATGGCTCTGGAACACCTCCAGGGACCAAGACTCCATCACTCCCTGGGCAGTTCCAAAGCATTACCACTCTTCCAGAGAATAAATTTTTCCAACCTGAGGAGCTGGAAGGCTTCATGAGCACTGAAGCCCCAGGTCTGGCTTTTAAAAGATGAATATTCCACTGAGAAATTAGTCATTGTTTTTTGTGGCTGTTTTACAGAGACAGAAAAGAAAATGATGTAACAGCAGACGGCTCCGAGAAAGCTGTCTGAGCAACACACCTTGCCCCTCTCTGAGACACCCATCCCACTCCTCCGACTCCTGCAGGGAGCCTCACGTGGCCATGGGGCTCCCAAGGGAGTGGGGAGGCCAAACAGATCAAGCTGGGAGCCTGCAGCCAAGCCTGGATGAGACTTTGGTCTCTCTTTTCAGCCCTAGGCCACTGCCGTGCTGCTCCTGCTACCGAGTGCTTGGCAGTCACAGGGCCATAACAAACATTACTCATCCCCATCCAGAGCTTACCAGCTTCCAGCAGTCACACATGACGCATGTGTTTACCACCAGTGGGAGGGTTTTATATATATCTATATGCTTTTACTGCAGTAAGAGTCCCTGTTTCTGAGGGCAGAGGAATTATTACCCGACGCTTTCATGGTATAACAAAGAGCATATGTTGTACCCGGCATAAATTTAGCTTCTGATCTGATGAGCAAGATTATTTATTTTTTCCCCCCTTCTCTGCCTCTAAATGTACAGATGAGTGCTCGCATTCGTCCCTAATGGCAGTGAGGAAGGGGAATGCTCAGAGCGAGCAGCACACGCACACAAACACATGCACAGAGCTAGAAAAACACCCCGGGTTTCTAAATCTACCCAGCAATCCCACAGTAATCTGCTCAGTCGTAGTCACAAATATAACTCAGGGACAATAAATAAGCTAACGGGAGTTAAATTAGTTCAGCTCCTTAACCTTTGGACTGATCAATCCCTGCGTTATCTCGTTTCTCCCCAGCCCCTCTCCATCCCCCACACCTTGTCCCCTCCCTCTTTGCACTGTGTTGGTGCCAGGCAGTGGGCAGACACACAAGGTGGTGGCAGGGAGCCGGGACACAGCAGAACAGTGCTGCAGAGAGGTGTATCACTAACCACTTCCTTTCTGAAAACAGTGTGTGTGTAGAAGCAGCAGCAGGGTTCACTACCTGCTGGCATCCCATGCCTTGCAGGGCTCTCAGACCCATCAGATGGATGCAGTTGGAGTACATGTGAGGAAAATCCCAAATTTAAAAAGGGCCCAAAGGAGCAATTTGCAAACGGTCCTCAGTTCCCACAGTCAGCATAGGATGCTCAGCCCTTGCAGAGGGCTTTGAGCTCCTGAATTTCCCTCTCAGGCAGCTGGGAATTGCATCCCCTGGGTGTCCACAGGGAGGGATCTGTGTGCGCCCAGCCTGCGTGGACCAGCAGGCTGCTTGTCAGCTCTTCCTGCCCCTTGCTGTGACTCATTCTGTGAATGAAAACACACCCATGGGGAAAGTATGAGCATCTGAACGAGATGCCAGCCAGCAGACACTGCACTGGAAGGAGGCGGGCAGGTAATGCACACATCTCAGTGCATCCTCACAGCACGCACACCACCCAGGTGGCAGAAGGTTTTCCCCTTCGAGCCTCTCAAGAATGGGGCAACTCCAGCATCACCCCCTGCTGCCATCTCACAGCCCTTCCCAAGGGAGTGACACTGCTATCTCCCTTCTGTGGGACCACAGAGGCTGTCTCTGAGCAAGGAAAAAGAAGCTGCTTTCCAGCCCTCCACCCCCAGAAGATGAGTTGGAGGAAATTAACAGTGATGCACAACTGAAAAAATTGAACGGTTAGAGGGAGTTCAAAGCTGAGCCAGTCTTGAGACATCTGCACACCACATGCCAGGCTGAGAAAAGTGCTCATAAATCCTTCCAGGCTGGCACCGATGGAAGGGAGCTCAGAGCACTCAACCCAACTGGGAGAATTCCCAGTGCTTCTGTTCTGAGACGGCTGAAAACTCCATGGAAAGGCACAAGTGAGGGAAGGAAAGCAGCTCAGCAGGAAACATTGAGTCATCCGAGTTACCTTCGTTTTATAAATGGTTACTGTTCCAGTTAGCAGAATGTCGTGTCCATTGAAAAGTGCATTTCATGATTCAAACACAGAGTTCCAGCAAACCTGGGGATGACAGGAGAAGCACGATATGAGTCTTTGTACAATAGGAAGGCAGCTGTGAACTAACATGGTAGAAAAAAACAGAGCCCAGCTTCCTGGAGGAAAGCCCATTCTTCCAATAAAAGTGAAGGAACCTGCACTGGGTGAAAAATGTCAATCCCCTTTAACAGAGATCAATAAGGCAATAGGATCGGTCTGCTCACACCAGCTGCCACTGATCTATTGCTGTTTGCAGAAGCTTTCATTCTGCTTGTCTTTACAACTTGGCTAATAGGAAAAACTTCACAGTGTTAAAAAAAAAAGTGAGCGAACGACCCAGGAATCAGAAGTGGAGGAGCTTTGCAGCTGAGTGGCCTCAGGATGCTGCGTGCTGGAGGTGCCAACCAGGCAACAATCCAACAGCAAGGTCCCAGGCTGCAGCAAGTGAGGATTTGCTCAATTGCAACAGCCGTGAATACAGAAATAAAGAAAACAGAAATAAAGGAAAGAAGCTGCTTACCTTCAAAAACCTCAGTGCACAGGGATCTCCAGCAAGAACCCTTGCTCCCCCTGCCAACCCTTAAGTGAGGTCTGGGCAGGGGTGGATCCTGGCTCCAGCCCTTCTGGTCACTCAGTGCATTGCATACACCTGAGCTGCCCTGGGTTGGTCCTGCCTTCCCACCAGGTGCTCAATCACTGCTTCAAGCCCTGACTTAGCATTTCTGCTACAGCTGCCATGCCTAAGCTTTCTCAGTTGCTCTCACTGCAGACGTTGCTTTCTCCCAGAAGAAAATGGGGCTAGAGGCAACTTGAAGACATGACCTGTGCCTGCCAGGTGGCTGCTCTGCTGGTCTTTGAGTATGGAAATGGCTGGTGGCCTCTAAGTCCAACAGCAAGATGCCCAGAGCTCCCACAAAGGAACAGCATGGGAGGAGATGGGGCTGCGTTCTCACAGATAACGACCCCCAGGGACTGCAAATAAACTGTTGGCAGCAGAGTGACCCACAGTATCCCTGGTTCACAACGCCCTCTACTCCACCAAAGAAACCCAAACCAACCCAAATCCGCTCCTAACACCTCAAGCATCACCACTCTCTGGTGACGAGAACCAGAAGCACAAAGCGTGGTTTGGGCTCAACAGACAGATGGGCAGAAGAATGGGATGGAGCCTGGTGCCCCGGGCATGCTGCATCCATCTCTCCGCAGGAGCCTCCCAGTCTGACACTGCTCATCAGAGCACTCAGTCTGCAGAAGCCCTTCAGAACATAAGGGCTCCCATGGGGATGCTCGAGACCAGACTTTCCTAAAGCGCTCAGCAAACACCTCACGCTCTCTGCTTTTTGGAAACTCTGACACACACAGCTCTCGACACTGCTGTCTCATATACGTATGGCTGACTCAGATAGATATATGGCTGGCTTAGCATACTTCCCTTTCTTCCTCCCCTCCCCCCGGAGTTTTGCATGTCTGAGGCTGTTTCGGATAAAAGATACCAAAAATGAAAATGCATTTGGGATGTCTGGGAACCAAGAAGTCAGACTGCAAGAAAACCAGACAGGGTTAGAGCCCCAAATCCTCGTCTCCTGCCAGCAATCTAAACCCTCTGCTGACTGCAGGTTCCAAGGTTCCATTTGCTCCACGGCAGCAGCAGCAGTAGCTATTTCAGAAGTGTATTCCATCAGCAGTAATGGGTCTTTCCTCATAAGCTGTGTTTTCATAGTAAATCTTCGGTCTTACATTGCATTACAGAGTTCAGCTGCCGCTAATCCTTAAAAACAATTCATTTCCAACTGCAAAGTGCAATAAAGAAAGGATAATCACTATTAATATTAGTTATTGTTATTGATTTCAGCTTTAAAGAATTGATTTTCAGTCCCAGCTGCATTTATGAGTCTCTTTGCTGAAGATGCATACACAGAGCCCACCGCTGTTTTCAGACCCTTGCCCCAGCTCCCGGCCATGGACGTGGTGAGAGGAAGATGGCTCTTCCCTGGTGATGCGGCCACAAACCTGCCCAGATTGGGGACATTGCTCCTGGGGTTGCAGCCCCAAATAATAAAACCCCCTTCTTTTATTCAGTTTCACAACAGAGCAATTCTGTGACTCAGTGCTCCCATGGAGGGGTGGCACGCAGCCCAAAGTGGAGTCACTGTGGTTGGAGGGCAGGGGATGCCAACTCTACGGGTTCTATTCTACACATCCATGGCAGCTTCCTACGTGCACACAGAGGAAAGCACGGAGATTAAAAAGAAAAGCATTATTGCTTCCTAACTGTGATTCCTACGATACCACTGAGCCTTCCAAACCCTTCCGGAGCTGTAAATTCAGTTTTAAAGTCTGCTCATGAGGATGGCTCTGCCTGGAACTCCCATTCCACTCGCCTTCACAGCTCCTTCAAAAGACAAATAAATGGCGTTGGGGCAAAGAACCCCCCATGGTGGAGGGGCAGAACCAGGCTCTGCCCCACTGCAGCACTCCCATAGCAATGCATGGGTGCAGTGGGTGCCCCAAAGCAGCTGATATGTGTGATGGGGGGTGCCAAGATGGGAAACAACTGCTGAGAGGAAGAGAGAAATATTTCACTTCCCTCTTTCTAAGGTGAAAACTGGGTGGCTGTTTTCGAATCGATGTCTTGCTTCAGAGGTCACTGAAGTTTTGGTTCGAGGGCATCGATGTTAAGAACCTCAAAAGCAGAAAGGGTTTGGTTTGCAAATCTGGAGAAACCAGAGCCATTAAGGCTGGAAAAGAGCACTAAGGCCATCAAGGCCAACCATCCACGTTTTGTGTCAATGTCAGCGGGCTCGCAGTGGAAAGGTTTCCAACACGTGGCTTTGGAAAGACGTTCTGGAAGCTGTTTCCATCCCTGCCGACCTGCAGCCAACCCTACTCTTCCCTCCTGTTGTTTGGAAGAGAGACATTAAAGAAAGTCGTCCATATTCAGCTCTCATGGCCTTGAGTTTTAAAAGTCTCCCTCGGAATACTTGGAATATAACCCAGTGGGGATGTAGGAATGAAATTGGGATAAAAAACACCGCAGCCAAGACTGAAAAATAATTAAATGAGCACTCAACCACCATCATTATTTTCCACAATTCCTATGTATATGCTAGATTGGATACAATGGTCTTGAATTGTTCCACACTATTACTGTGCTATAAATTATTTGAGAAAAGCACGGCAAGGCATCGTAATGTAATATATTTTTATAGTGCCATAAAGTAATTATGTGCCAGACAACAAAATCCTACAGAAGTGACATATTTTATGCTTAAATTATAATTACATTAAAAGTGTCTCTTCCA